TATATTTGAGGCTGCAGGGGCTGGTGCGGGGGGAGTGCAAGCCCTTGGACACTGCTCATTGCTACCAAAGGGTCACTGCTCCTGCACTGCCAGCTGCCAGGGTACCGCATCCACAGCCCTGGCACAGCCCAGGCACTGCAGTCCCCACAGCCCCTGGTACCACCCATCTGGACTAAGGTGCAGGGATGGGCACCCCACACCAGCACCCCAGCCCCTGGCACATCCCAGACAATGCAGAAAGGAGGGAGGCAGTGCCTGAGAATGGAGATTTAATGGCCTGAGATGCCTTCCTGGCCATCCAGCGGGACCAGGCCAGCACCTGAGGGATGCTATGCGTGGGCTGTGGCGCAGCTGTGGCTTGGAGGCAAGGGCTGGTCCCCCCCCGGCACTGACCCTAACAGGCAGAGCAGCGGTCGCTCTTCTCCTGCAGCCCAGGGTTGCGGCGCAGCATGTCCTTGAGCGAGCCGTCCTGCTCTGTCAGCAGCTGGTTGATCTCATTTTGCTTGTATTCAGAAGAGAGCTTGTGCCCATAGAAGGAGCCCTTCCCTGATGAGGGGTTGGAGTTGTGCTGGCCTCGGCGCGCACAGGCTCGCACCACCAGGTAGACCAGCTCTGCCATGTTGAGGACGATGCAGATGCTGGAGGTGACCAGCATGAAGACAGTGAAGATGGTTTTCTCGGTGGGCCGGGAGATGAAGCAGTCGACGGTGTTGGGGCAGGGGTAAGCCTCGCACTTAACCAGCCGCACCATTTGGTAGCCTGGGTAGAGCATGTAGAAGATGTACATGAACACAGCCTCAAAGAGCAGCCTGAAGACCACGCTGCAGACATATGTCCACCACAGTGAACCTGATATGCGCATTTTGTGCTTCTTCACCTCCTCCATGAGCTTGGGGTCTGCATGCCCGGTCAGCACGAGCAGCTTCTTCTCCTGGTGCTGCTGGTATGCCACATGCATGGCCACAAGGAGAGCTGGCGTGGTGACAAGGATGAGCTGCAGGGCCCACAGACGGATGTGGGAGATGGGGAAGAAGTGGTCATAGCAGACGCTGTTGCAGCCAGGCTGCTGGGTGTTGCAGGTGAAGGCAGATTTCTCATCCCCCCAGACGCTCTCAGCTGCCACCACCAGCACCATTATGCGGAATATGAAGATGACCGAGAGCCAGATGCGTCCGATGGAGGTGGAGTGGCGGTTCACCCCACTCAGCACCGTGTAGAGCCCGGCCCAGTTCATTGTTCCTCACGTCTGCAAGAGCGAGCAGGGAGAGACAGTGTTAGGTGGGGGGAAGGGTGAAATCCCCCTTGCCTCAGCCCTGATGGCAGCAGCCCCAGGGGGCACTTGGGAGCAACTGGCTGCTGCAGCCCTGATAGGATGGATAAATGGCAGGACGGCAGTGTAGCTCCCGCTGCTGACATGGCTCAGGGCAGCATTTTGGCCAGAGCAGGCAGGATACCAGTTGGTCCTGCAGTGCCAGTTGCCCTGACACTCCACACTGTCATGGGGATCCTGACCCACAGCTGCCACAGAGGATTGGGGTGAAGCTCCCACACCACCACAGGTATCCCTGAGTCTGCACCCAGTGCTGAGCTCTCTGGCTAGGGATGGACTCAAGGACCTTCACAGGCTCCTCCACACCAGCAACTCCCTGCTCTCGTTCCCCCCCATTCCCTGCAGGAGTGGGGCTGGGGAGACCCAAGCTGAGGGGGCACACCCCCATGCAGCCATGCATTGCCACCCTCCCAGAACTGTCCTTGCCCAGGGAGCTTGGGGTGACCCTGCATCCCAAGCACAGACCCCTTCTAGGGCTACCCACTGGCACTGGGCAGCCCTGGAAGCTGCTTCCCACCCCAAACATGGTGCTGAGGGGCTGAGACCTGCCCTCTGGCCACCCCTGATGTGGAGGGTCCTGGCAGTGCATACCTGATGGTGAGGAAGGGTCCTTGCGAGCTGGCCCAAATGGCCCCTCTAAGGTTTCATGTCTCCCACTGGAGAGCTCTGCTCCGCCTGCCCTTGTCTCTATCCACCACTGCCCTGCGCTTGGAAGTCATATGCTGCTTTATAAACTATTTACATACAATGGGGCCTTTATCGGCCCCTAAACAACACACTTTAGCATTCAGATCAAATGCCCTGACTTCCGCCCACCCCAGCCAAACAAAGTGCCTGTGTGCTGCATTCCCGCTGCCCAACCCCACACCCACTCCCACCTCACCCTGTGCCAACCACAGCTGTAGCCCCCCCTCTCCCCCCAGCTGCCGGCCATGGGATCATCATCCTGCCTTGCAGGACCCACACCACGGGCATTGCCAAGCAGGATGGCCACCTGGAGTGCCTCAGAACCCTCCCCTGGGAGATCCCTCATGGGCAGCATGGGGCACGGTGACTGGAGCTGGGGTCTGGCTGCTTGCCAGCACGGCACTGAGCAAACTATGGGTGTGCTGGGTATATTCCCCATGGGTCCTACCCTTGAGGCTCTGCTGCCAGGGGTTTGGTGCCAGCAGTGCCAGAAAGGGTGCTGGAGCTGCCTCCTGTACTTCAGTTAGGGACATGTCCACCAGGGTGACGCTGTCTTTGTGCTAACAGACTCTGCAGTCCAGAGCTGAGAGCTACCTGACACAGGAGCTGTGCTACTCTCCCGGGGTGTGGGACCACTGATGCTGCCTCAGTGCTCGGACATGCTGGCGGGGACAACAGCCCTTGTGTTTGCCGACCTCTGTGCCTATGTCCTTAAGGGCTGGTGTCCCAGCCACAGCATCAAACTGTGCGCCACCCCCACGGAGATGGAACCGTGTCCCTTGGGTTTTGACCCCAGCCTCAGGTGGGGAGCAGCACATCCAGTAAAATCCACCACGGATAGGGGGGAACGATACCATCCCAAATGCCACTTCCACTCCTCAAGCCAGGGTGCAAGTGCCTGGAACTGCACAAACAGTGGTGGGCAAAGACCCTCTGGTGAAGCTGCAGGGAGGACAGCCAGTGCCCACGCCACAGACAGCTCCTCACCCTGCTCCCCCCCAGAGGGCAAGCACCCCTGTCTCTGCCCTCCCTGGCCCATGGCCAAGCTCTTCTGTGCCCCCCTCCACCTTGTACCCCTCGATGCCTCCCAGCTGGGGGATATGTGGCCACCCCACAGCAGTGCGGTGCCCACCAGGCTCTCACCTCAGCACTGGGACAGGCAAAGGAGCTCTCAGGTGGTGCAGCAGCCTCAGCGTCCAGCACAATGCTCTGGACTTTATACTGCCTGTGGCGCGCCACCCACCCCCTCCCAAACTGCCCTGCTTCTTTCAGGACGTGCTCCAGTCAGGTAAACATGCAGGTGTGTACAGCCTGCACTCACACTGCTGGGGCACCCACCACTGCAGCTGAGCACCCCACAGGGACAGCCCAGGGGCCACCACAGCACCAAGGCAGGGCCAGCCCCTCAGAATGGTTCCTGTGGGAGCTCTGCGGTCCCCACGGCCGCGTTCCCCTGCTGTGAGCATCCTCCCAGCCACGTCCTCGGCAAGCTGGAATCATGCACCACAGCGCGGCCCCATTCTCCACCCCAGGGGATGGCTCTGGGCACCCCTAGCACCCAGAGCACCTTGATGCGCTGCTGCAGGCTGCCGGCTCCTTCCTGGGGAGCCACCAACACCCAGATTTAACGTGTAAAAATTCTGCCTGGAAATGTAAACAGCCTGTCAACAATTAACCCAGCTAAGGGCCCACTCCAAGGTCCTGCTGCAGCATGTTGCACAACGCCGCAGCATGCCCCGCGTTGTGGGGCCCCGGGGGCGGCCGCAGGATGCCGCACATCACCCCTTGCGTGACGGTGTTAGAAGCGCTACTGTCTCCTGAATAAGGACGGCAGAGTGGAGCTGTGGGGGGCGACGAGGGGGTCCCTGCAGCGTGGTGGGG